GACAACAAGGTCGATATCCAGAGATACATATCGATCGATACACATCCTGTGTAATCGATCGACGACGCTTCCGTAGAAGATGACGAATCGAGATACTCCATCGATCGATGTACGCCTTGTACCATCGATCGATATCGAGCGTGAAGAATAAGTTTGACTCAGCCGACTTGAAGCCCAAGTTCTCTCAATATTACAAGATTGCCCCTGATGAGTTTTTAACCTAATTGAACTCATATTTATAGTTATGCATATGCTTTTATTCTATGTATGATTTTTATGCATTTCAATACTCTTAGTTCTTTCATTTATAAAAGTATTCTTTTTATCTTATTCTGATTTTCATAAAAGGTTATAGAGTTCTAGATTTAGAAGAATATACAAAGAGATTTGTTGTTCAAAGGAACCAAGTGTTCAATCTTCTAATCTTATGAATTTCTATTATTACCTTGATGCTATGAATCATTTAGCCATGTCTGAGTAGATTCACTTGTTAGATTTGGGGTTCAAATAGTTATGAGGGATTAGCCCCAACTATGGATTGTTGGGTTGTGATATTCATTATCCTGATGAACCCTAATGCTTACTCTAGAGTAGCTAACTAGAGTATGATCCTGGAATGATTGAACTTGTTAATCATCATCCTGAAATCATTTGGCATAAGCTGATATCCTCTAGGGACGAGCGAGAGCCGGTCTATGATCTTGGTGAACACATATCCAATTCGATCTGAAGCTATATCGATCGATACTCCTATAGAGTAATCGATCGACGGCAACCTATATCATCCAATATCGCTATCAAAACATTGGTCGATATTTCCGGCATTCAGATCAATGGACGAGTCATTGCTAATAGACTTATCTAAGAGTTGAAGTTCTTTAATATCTTGCAAGCAACTTATTAAGACATATGTAGCATTATAATCCTGATTATCTGAATAGCAACTTTGAATCTAACTACTTTCTTTTATTGTTTAAAACCTAAACCAATTCTCTTGAGCATCTCACCATTGCTCACAACTGCAATTTACTTTTAAAATTAATCAACCTAGCATAATCACTAAGGATTATATCTTTTGTGTTCCTTAGTTCCTTGTGGATTCGATCCCTAAGTACTACAACTGAACCTCTTATTTGAGAGAGTAATTCATTCTTTAGGGTAATTTTAGTGATATTACGTACCTTGCCGAAGTTGGTCATGTTGAGGGTTCGGTACACAACAACAACAAATACGGTGATTGATTATGAATTAAAGAAATTGAAGTGAAAAACACCACACGTAAAGTCGGATCTTTAGTTTAGTCAAATATTAACATTCTTACAAAAGTTTTCATATCAGACCAAGAATTAGAAACAAAATCAAATTGGTAGAAAAAATCAGAAACCAAAAATGCTTTAAAAAGAAATAAAAATCACAAAATCGATTTAAAACAGAATTCAGGTACCAAGTGAAGATGTCACTTTGTAATATATATTATTTTCATTGTTTACGGGTACAATTTGATTTTCTTCATATGAAAAAATGTTATTAATTTCTAGGTTTGTTTTATTTTACTTAATTTTATTTAAGAATTTACTATCATGTGTTATTTTGAACAAAAATGTTTTAAATCTTAATTAACGGTATATTCATATATTTATCATCACATTTATAGACTTTTATATATACATATATGTACACATTGACATAAGCGACTATATAACTAAATATTTACCACATGGGAGAATTTGTTTTCTTATTGAATTTAATTTTTTTTAAAATGTTTTCTTTCACTATCGCTCAAATTGTAGTGAAATATTTTGTGTTAATAATTTTTTTTTCTTTTTTATTTCTTCAAATATTATTTAGATTTTATTTTATTTTACGTGTCTTTAGAAATTATAATAGAAAACTATTAGTTCGAAATTAAAAATGTCTAAAATTTATATAAAACAAAACCAAACAAATAACAAGAGTTTTTGGTTATGATCAAAAATATTAAAAACATCAAACATTTAAACTAAACAAAGCAAAATAAATATAAATTTAGAATGATAGTTATATTTTAGGACATTAAATAAAACAACGTAAAACTGAACTAATATCCATGTT